TTGCTTTTTTTCCCCCTTGCCTCAGAGGTGTCAAGTAAGACCTTGCTGCAGCCAAGGTCAAAGAGTGCTGCCTGTTTTCTCCTGTAGGATTTTGATGGTTTCCTGTTTCACATTTAGATCTTTCATCCATTTTGAATTTATTTTTGTGTCTGGTGTAAGAAAGTGTCCAGTTTCATTCTTCTGCATGTTGCTGTCCAGTTCTCCCAGCACCATTTGCTAAAAAGACTGTCTTTACTCCGTTAAATGCTCTTCTCTGCTTTGTTGAAGATTAGTTGGCCATATATTTGTGGGGAAGCGGATGTGATTTTTCAAAGAAAGAATTGTTAGGAGAGTAAAGAAGAGCTCTTGTGAGTTAAAAACACGACAGCACAAATGAAAAACCCTACAGAAAGACTGAAAGATGAAATTGAGAGAATAGGCCAGAAAGAAGAGCAAAAAGAAAGACAGAAAGTAGAAAATAGAGGACAATTGGAGGGCCACTATGGGAGATCCAATATCCAGATAATAGAAACTCTAGTAAGATGAATAGGGAAAGCTCTGGGGAAAATCCTCAATTAAATAATTCAAGACAATTTCTCAGAACCGAAGGACATAAATCTTCACATCAAAAGGGCAACTAAAAAGGGCCAGCATAAAGGATGGAAAAAGACTCATTCCAAGCCCATCACCATAGAATTTTAGAACACTGAGGGGGAAAGATTTCCAGAGAGAAGGGAGAAAATGTCAAAAGGATGATATATCAGAATAGCATCAGGCTTCTCAACAGCAATGATGCTTCCTTGACGATAATAAAAGAACGCCTTGCCTCGTAAATTATTATCCCAATCTAAAATTCTATATCCAGCCAATCTATCCATCAAGGGTGAGGGCTTAATAATGAGCTAGAGAAAATGTCTTATTGTCCACATTGGATAGAACCAATGATACCACTTCAATTCAGGCAGAGCATCTGGGGGAACTCGGCCCAAGTAAGTGATAATACTCAAGGATTCGATACATTGGGATTTATCCATCCATTGTACTTCAGTGTCACTTACAGACAAGATACTTGGTGTTAGGAATACAGACATACAGTGATTTCTATTCAGGATCTGGATATGTCATTTGGCTTCGCTGTGCCTTACTTGGTCCACCTATAAAACGAGTGCTAACCTGAGGCTAACCTATGGTGTCTCACAAAGATGATGGAAAGGACAGGAAGGTAAGAGATAAGAGTAATTTCAGTAATTTCAGCTCCTCAAAAGGAAGATGACAAACAATTATGAAGCCAATTCTTTCTTCGTGTAATTATCATCGTCACCGACTTTTGTCTGCCCAACAAACATTCCATTCCATTCCAACTTCCATTCCAATTTCAGGGGTGATGGTGAACCCCACTCCTGGCCACAGTTGATTGGTTTAGGGGTGGGCACTTGGCCTTTCTGAGCCAATCAGAATGGTGCCCTGGAATTCTAAACCTGGAGCCAAGATATGTGAGTGAGTTTCTCTTCAGGTGGCTGGAAATGATGTTGTTGAACCCCAGTGCTGTCTGCTTCAACATTCCATCATCCAGCCTGAGAAGCAGAAGTAGCAGGTTGGCCACCAGAAAGGATGAAGCCAAAAAAGACACAAGACAGTTACCAAGGCGAGAGAGGGAGAGAGAGCGAGAGAGCATTCCTGACCTACCAGCCTGCTCCATTGCCAACCCCATTCCTTTAAGGCCATGCCTCAGTCTAACAGATACCCCATCTTTTCTGGATTCCTCAAAATTTTATTTCCTAGGTGATCAAATTTTTTTTATTTTGGCAAAATATATACAACATAAACATTTACTATTCTAACCATTAAGTGTATGATTCTGTGACATCAGGAATGTTCACGTGGGTGTACAACCATCCCCACCATCCATCTCTAGAACTTTCTCACCTTCCCAAATAAAAACTCTGTACCCATTAAGCAATAACTCACTGAAAATGTTCACTTACTATATGACCCAGCTATTGAAAGTTTTTTCATGTTTATGTATTTATTTTGAGAGAGACAGCACTGCGCTCTCCGTGCAGAGGCTGACTTGGGACTTGATCTCACAAACAATGAGCTAAAATCAAGAGTCAGACATTTAACCTACTCAGCAACCCAGGTGCCCCTGATCCAGCTATTTTACTCCTGGATATTTGCCCAAGAGAAATAATAGTGTATGTCCCTATAAAGACTGATGGTCAAATTTAACTATAATATCCCCCAAATCAGAAACTGTCCAAATATTCACTAACAAGTTAGTAAACTGTGGTATATACATTCCATAGAATACTATTAGACAATGACGAGGAATGAACTTTTGATACACAGCACAATATGAATGAGTCTCAAAATAATTATGCTGTGTGAAAGACCTCAGGCAGGAGAGTACATGCTGTCTGCCTTCACTTATATAAAATTCTAGAAAACACAAACTAATCTAGAGTGACAGAAAACCGATTGGTGGTTGTTTGCATATGGGGAGGCCAGTGGAGTGGAGGCTGAAGAAGTGCCGAAAGGTAGGATGGGGGAATCACAAAGTGGCTTGAGGAAACTTTCGCTGGTGGTGTATACGTTCATGACCTTGATAGCAGTGATGGCTTCACAGTTGTGTATATATATATGTGAAACAATACCAAAGTGTGCACCTTACATATGTGCAGTTTATTGTATATCAAATTTTTATCAATAAAGCAGTTTTAAAATACTGGATGCTCGAGACAGAGAGTGATGCCTCCAATATTTTAAAGAAAACTTATTTACAATCCAGAGTTCTGTAACTAGCTAAACTGTTCATTTTATTATAGTAGAAGATACAAATAATAAACAGATAATTACACAGTGATTTAAAATCCGTTGTGATGGGGACACCTGGGTGGCTCAGTCAGGTAAGGGTCTGACTTCGGCTCAGGTCATGATCTCATGGTTGGTGGGTTTGAGCCCCACGTTGGGCTCTGTGCTGACAGCTCAGACCCTGAGCCTGTTTCAGACTCTGTGTCTCCCTCTCTCTTTCTGCTCCTCTCCTGTCACACTCTTCTCTCTCTTGCTCTCAAATAAATATTAAACAATTAAATTCAAATAAAATAAAATCAGTTATGTTAAATGTTAAGATGATGAAACCCAGTGTGGCTAGGACATGCCACAACAGTGGACTTGATCGGGTCTGGGTCGTCTTCCTCTTCTTTGCCCTCAGAAATAAGTCAGTTGCCCAAAGTTACTGAATCAGTAAAAGAGGAAGAATCAGAGCCTTTTCTTCCTACTTAGACAGTATGTAGTCTTTGGAACATGCCTTAAGTTTGGGCCAAAAACCCTGTTTTCACTACTTACACTCATAGGGAGAGCCAGCTGGAATTTGGATTAACATCCTCGCCTCAGATTTTTAAAAATATTCAAAACACAAGCGTTATGATATTGGGTCAGTAGAACCATCCCCAGTCTTGAAGGTTGATGCCACCATATCCTTGAGGTTCACAGATATAGCAACATTAAAACGCTCAGCAACCCAGGATGGGCCACAAATAGGTGTGTTAGCATGTGTCGGTCCTGCCTTGCGATAGCCCTTCACCGGCAACAGCAACACGGCCAACTGTGTGCTTTCCTACACGGGTTGAAACATTTTGTCTGAAAGTGATAATCTTCCACATTCCAGTTTTGCCACGTTCTTTTATTTTGCCATAATCTAGAAAGGATGCCAATTTGGCATCATTCAACTCAAAGTACGTTTTCTTTGTAGAAAACTACTGTGTGCCAAATTCTAGGGATAGAGGGGAAAATAAGACTCAGTCTCTGCCCTAAAGGAACTCACAGTCTGGTAGCGAAGTCAGTAACAAATGAAGAACTGCTCTTTGATTGGCCAGTTACTCTTCATAATTCTTCCTAAAACCCAAAGCTCTCTTAGCACATGGACAGAAAGGATCATCAAAGGAAACTCACACTGTATTTTACTTCTGGATTTCCTTTCTGGTGCTTCGTAACTTCAAGAGGGACATAAAATGCTTGACATGATTCTCCTGTAAAATCCAACTCCTTTGGCACCACAGGACTTGGAAAATATTAATCCTAAGGGGAATCCCGTTCATCAAAAGATGTTAATCTTGTTAACCAAAAGGCCCCTACTTGGACATGCCACTAACACGATGTGTCAAAGCCTCTAAGCCTTGTTTCTTTTCTGGGAGGTTTGTTTGCTCCTTTGTAAGATCCACCTCAAAGGCTCCGTGTGTCCCAGCGCGAAGAAGATTCTTTCTTGCTTTGAAGTATCTATAGCTAGTACCGTTAAGAGAAAGCTACTTAAGCATTCCGAGAAGCCCTCCTGCTGAGTCAGCAGGCATGGAATCAGTGATGGTCCTGTTCTATCTCTTCTTTCCCCAGGGTCCCAGAGTTGGTGAAGGAGTGTGGAAGAGCACACCACGCTGGCTTTCCAGCAAGAGCGTCCTTCCTGAGCGGGGTCATCAGGTAAGGTCCTCCTGCAATCTGAACTCAGGCCGGGTGCTCTTTGCAAATGTTGGGGAACGGACATTTGTGGTGCTGCCCCCTCTGCCTTCCAGCCTCCCTCTGGGTCCTCGTGGTGCCATTTCAAAGAGCTCAAGTCACAATATTCCAAACCAATGGCCATTCCTGGGAGAGACTGCCAGGGTCAGGCTTTTAGGGAACCAGGGCTGCTCGGGTGCTGTCTTGGGAAAACCACGTCATTCCTCCCTGGGTTTCCAAACAGCCGACAGCTGGACACCTCGGGCCACATCCGAGCCTCAAGGGCCTGTCGCGACACCACCGACGGGCCGGGCCCAAAGCTCGTCTGGGAACAGCTACCTGTTCCTCGAAGCCAGTCAGCGGCCGCCTGCGCTGGACACGCCCTCGCGCCCGCGGCCCCGCCCCCACTTCCGGCCGGGCCGGCGTCACGTGCCCTGGCCCCGCCCCTCGCATAGACACGGCTCCCCTTGCTTCGAGCGTCCCGGCTTCCCTTCCGCCGGAAGTGGGGCGACTTTCCCTTTCCGGCTACGGGTCCCCGAGCGGAGCTGGAGGCCGGACAGGGGAGCTGAGCGGCGGCGGCGGCGGCGGGGGCGGTAATGGCGGAGCTGGTGCAGGGGCAGAGCGCTCCGGTGGGGATGAAAGCCGAGGGCTTCGTGGACGCCCTGCACCGGGTCCGGCAGGTACGGGCGGGGCGGGCTGGCGGGAGCGCGGGAGCACGGGAGCCCGAGGCGGGGCCGGGCCGGGCCCGATTGGGAGGAGGGGGTCGGGCCTGGGGGGCGGGAGGCGGCCCGGGCTGACGTCTCGGCCGCGCTCGGCCTTTTCTTGGGGCTCCTGCAGCCGGGGAAGCCGAGGGATGAAGCGCCGCCGCGACGCCCAGGCCCAGCCTGTCGGGCGGCTCTCCTAGGTGCAGCTGCTGGGAGACGGTTTGCCGGGGTCACTTGGCCCCATCGCGCCCCCGCGCCCGGGCTGGACCTACAGGGCATCCAGCGTGGGCTTCTGGGGTTCGCGAGGGGAAGGGGGCTGGGGAGCTGACGGTGAGGACCCGGGTATAGACAGAGAGCGGCCGTCTCGGGCCCTGTAGCTTCTTAAAACTTGGAAAACATCGTCTTCGGACTTCCTGTATTCCAAGGGGGGAGTGGAAGGAGTTCGAGGGTATTTTACTCTTGAAGTTGCTCTTGGACAGGGGGGAGAGGAAGATGTTAACTAGGTGCGGGGGCTCCACAAAACGTAGAAATCCCATACGGGCAATAGTTTTTCCTCCCTCGGGGAGAATGTGATACGGACTCATCTCAACGGTGAAACTTTACCATCTGACAATGTCCTGCATTTTGTCAGAGTTAAATAAACTGGGTTTTAAGAGGTTGCCAGCTTCCCAGGAGAATGAATATGGGACCTGCCAGGAATCTTCTGGCCTCTGGCAGGGTGCTTAGAGCAAACAAAATGTCCTTGTATTGTGTGTAAATCGTACAAGTCAGCTCTGACACTTAAACCTTTTCTGCTGAGTGTCGTAGATGCAGCATCTCTTCCTATTTAATTGTAGGCATACTAACTGACAGTTTTAAAAGTTGGGCTATAACTAATTACTGCTTGATTCCTAACAGAAAGCCACAGGACTCATTGTGTTAGAAGAAGGTCTCTGCACTTGGTCGCTTGAAGATGTGGTCTTTACATCTCTTTCCAGTATTCCAGGGGAGGGAACCCTACCTGTTTCCCAGATACTGACTTTTCATTTTAATACTGATGCTCCTATAGACATTCTGTTGGATCCCAGAACTTTCCAAACCTGTGGTTCCACCTCAAATTTTATCTGATGACTTGTCACTTACTGCCTAGGCGTCAACCAGTCCGGTAGTGAGTATCCATCTTACTTAGACTTCAGAGCCAACCAGTGGCTGTAATGGATGAACTGGCCATCCAGCTCCCCTTCCACCACTCTGCTTGCCGGCGGCGTGTTCCACTGCTCTCCTCTACAGTACAGGGTCCTGAACTTTGTTTCTCACTGGCTACTAATAAGTAATGGCTTTCGCTTTGTGCTGATATGTGACAAGCACCTGTTGGCCTTCTGTGTCCAGGAAGAATTATAGTCACTGCCCTAAAGAGCTCAGATCCTCAGTTTGCAGAAGGCCTGTAGTTGAACATAAAATGAATTTTGAACCATTGAGAAGACTTGCTGCTTCTCTTGGGCCAGTGGTTGAACTCGTATTCTTGGACAGCCTGCTCAAGAGAGAGGGAGACCCTCTGTTAAATGCTGACCTAATGTGGATTGTTGAAGCAGTGGTGTTTACTACTAGCAAAGAAAACTTCACTGGAAATGTTCCCAGCTCTGAAATGCACCATTGACTGGAATAGTAATAAGCCCACGGGAGACAGTGCTGTAAGTGTGTTACTTCCGAATATTAACAGCTGGAGGTCGATACTATCTCCAAGGATTTGATGGCCTTTAAAAATCTAAAGAAAAAGAAACAGGTTGGTGGGTAATTTTAGGTTTATTTATAGATTCGCACTGAGCAAGAATGGAATGTTAGAAATTGCAACTGTTGTATGCTTTATAGACAAGCTTACCTCAAAGGGGCTCAAATTATTTGGGCATCCAGACGGTGATGGTTCAGCTTCATTGTATACACAGCGTATTGCAGAGATGTGCCTTTTTCCTCTCCAGTAACTGGAAATAAAAGTGTATTTCTTTATTTAAATGGTCGCACAGCTTCCCTCCCTCCACACACACCCCCCCCGCCCCCACGTGTCCTCATCAACCCCAGCGGTGGCCTCTAAAGCCCTCACTAGTTTGTCAGGGAGCAGTAAGCTGTCATGTGCTCGCTTTATCCAGAAGATCACAGTAAAGTCCAAACTGACCCTGCTGGGATTCGAACCTGCCGTTTCTATTAAGTCTGGTGTGTGGAGCCCAGTACCTAATCCACTCGGCCTCCTGCCTGGCATCTCGAAGCCCCCTGCGCATCCTTCGGACCCTTACCAACAAAGGGGACCAGTAACAAGTAACCACTTGTTACTTAGTTCCCTCTGATGATCGAAACGGGGTCCCCGAGGTTGTGTAAAATTTAAATTTTTTTCCCAGCAGAGAGTTAAGAGTGTTTGGCATGAGCGAGTTGTATGGCCGCTCTGAAGGGAAGCATCCGAACATCCAAGTGTGGTCTGATTCGGCCCTAGGGATGAAGATCTAACACTGCTGGGTATTGAGAAAGCGTGCTCAGTCCTCCCAACTCAGTGGCAGGTCAGCACAAAGAAAGTGTTAACCTCGTTTAGAGCGAGCAGGAGGGTCCTAGTAAGGGTGAGAGGTGGACTCCAAGTCAGACTGGCCTCGGCCATCCCCTTCTCCAGCCACGCTGCGTTTCTGCCCTGACTGCCTGGGCTACCAGACGTCCTCGTGGACATGATGGACGCGTACGTACAGATCACTTCTGTCGGGTTTGTTCTTCTAAAAACAAAAATTACCCCCCAAAGCCCACTGCCAGGGGTTGAGTAGCGTCCATCATCTAGTGCGCACATTTGCGTGTTAATGGGACTACGTGGCGCCGTGGTGTACTGCGGATTCCCAGCGCCTTCCCCGGGTTGAGCCCCCTGCCTGTCAGTCAGCCCCTAAATAGAAGTTCTCTTGCCTCACTGCTGATGCCTTTCGGGACTTGAAGCTCCTGGGTCGACCTAGACGTGGTCAGTGCCTCTGTGTGGCACACTGTGGGGATGTTCTGTTCGCATAAGTACAGTGTGACTGGTGCCTGTCGGAGTTGAGCGTCACGATGGTCCTGCACCCTCATGATTGTGACCGGGCCACTGCAGAGCCGGTACGTAAGTGGCCTTTTGACAGTCTGGTAGGCCTGGAAGCTGTTCTTTACCATACTTTTTTTTTTGGAAGTGTTCATCAGTTTGGGGCCTCAGAATTTCCTTGGTCCTCCGGAAAATGCCAGCCCGTGCTGCCGTCGCCCACTTTGAGCCTGAGCAGTGGATGGTTTGGCTTGCGTGCTGTGTGCACGCACTAAATTGCCTTTACGACGGTATACGTCCACCATTAAACGAAAAAGCCTTTGTTCGTTGGCTCTTGGTCACTCCCACAAAGAGACTGCCTTCGCTTCCTTAGTGTATGATGTTTCTGACTCATGGCCAGTGTGTGGAGTGCTCCCATCGACTTAAGCTGTGCTCCGCTGAGACTGCCTCACACACACCCAGGCTGAGTAACTCAGGTCTTCATTTCACGAGGGACCCACTCCTGAATGTACATGCATTTTTGCCCCATCAGACGCTTGAAGAAACCAGTGTCTGCGGGAAATCACTGGGCTGTTCTGTCTTTGGTAGGACCCCATAGAGTACCCGGTAAAGAGCGAGTCCTTGTTCAAGGGTTTTGGTGATGTGACAGCTCATTCAGGTCACCACTTTCCCCGAAGCCCCAAAATTCTTATTTGGTATTGGAAGGTAAATAGTAAAGGCGCAATACGTACTCCTGGACATTTCTAAGGTTTTTCTCCTTTTCAGTAGAGACTTCTTTATCTTTCTTTTAAAATCTGGTAGCCCAAATGTATCATCCGACTGTGGTTTCTTCTGACGTCCCATTTATTCTGTAAGTACAGATTTGCCTAGACCAGAGCCCTCAAGCTGGTGGCCCACGGGCTGGAGAAGGCTCATGGGGGGGAGGGGGGGACGCTGCGGGCATGCTTTGTGGGACCCACACGATGCCAATGCTTAGAAACTAGAATGACGTCCCGTAAAACTTGAGATTTCTAGAAGAAGTCTGGCCACACGGCTCCCACATTCTAGAATGGCGGTACTCAGCGGGAGCCTAGGAGCAGCCACCTCTTTACACAGGGCGTTGGCTGTCTGGGTTGCCACTGGGATGCCTAGTCAGAAAGTTTCCCCCCTCAGCCTTTTCCAAATTGTGAGTCCATTTCTGGTTTTTATTTGAAATTTCTTATTTTTTTTTTTTTTTAAAGGAAAGATTTTTTTTTTTTTTGATATATTTTTGAGAGAGAGGCAGCGTGAGCAGGGGAGGTGCAGAGAGAGAGAGGCAGGCACAGACTCTGAAACAGGCTCCAGGCTCTGAGCTAACTGTCAGCCCAGGGCTCGTCGTGGGGCTCAAACCCACAAACCCGCGGGATCCTGACCTGCGCCAAAGTCGGACGCTTAACCGACTGAACCACCAGGTGCCCCTTTATTTGAAATTTTTAATGGAAAGAAGTGTTTGTGGAGATTTAGGAGACCTGGGTCTCCTACAGGTGGCTGTATGACCTGAGGCTGGGCCAGCCGTTCCCAACACTCGATCAACAGGCTGTTCATAGATCTTCCGTGGGAGTGCGGTCATGGACAGATACGTTTGGGGAATACGGGGCTAAGTAATGGTGAATTGACTTCTTTAAATGCAGGACTTTTCGGAACCTTTAACATGCTTGTGTGTGTTAAGTCCTACGAGAGTTTGAGGTGTGCATTGTAAGTACCCTGAGGTTATGTCATTTCATACTCCCTTTTCATAAAACCAAGTCATATTCTCCAATTGCATTTCCGGAAACGTTAAGCTAGATAATGCCAGTAGTTCCTTCAAGCCTGCAAACCTTCAGAGCTGACATCTAGTTGGAGCTGGAAAAAAAAAAATTGACCGTACCGTTCTGGTTCTTTGCTTTGCGTTATGTTATCTTGGGCATCTGTTCAGACTCCCCCTCCCCCCAGCCTTTTCGGTGCA